AGAGATATAAAAACAAACAAAACTGACAGCGACAGACGAGCAGCCACGTACACCGGCGCCATCTTTGCCCTAGAATCCTGCAGGATTCTTTTGCCGTTAAGAACATACGGAGCGATGAAACCCAACGGGTAAAATATTGCTGCGACTGTGGACAAGATGCTGCGTACGGTTGGGGTTTTGTCCTTTACAGCTCTGTTGAATGTAAAACAATCCTTTTCTATGTTCCAATACATCCCGAGTGCTCTTTCTGTTTGTGATTCACTGAATGTCAAGTCCTTTGTTTTTGTGTCTGTTGCATGTTCTGAAGTAGGAATGTCTTTGAGTGCAACACTGTTGTTAGACACAAACTTATGTAACCTTAGTCCACCTTTCGCACATAGCTCACGTGCTGACTCAACTGCAGACACCAACAGAAATTGGAGGAAATGTCACTCAGCTACAGGTAATGTCTTGACCAGCATTAGTACATTACTTTCGTTTGGTTTAATTACACTTTTATTTTAATTGGAGATTGACAGTAACAACACTGTTTTTCTTTGAGCCAAAATTTCATTGAAGGAAATTTCAATGCAGCTTTGATGCTGGATGGAGACAGCAACGCATTTTAAAACCCTGACTTGGACTGTGGGAATCAAGTCTTTACAATACACACACACACACACACACACACGCACGCACGCACGCACGCACGCACACACACACCAGCCTGACCAATAAGAGCCAAGAGTTGCAGTGATAGGCAGGCTGAACCAGCAAATAGCCAGAAACAACTGGTCAGTGCAGCACCGCCTCAGGTACCACGTACAGATTTTAACTGGCTTCTGACTTTGTGTGGTGTGGAGTATGCTAGATTTTATATAAATATGGATGAGATTAGCTGGGGATGAACAAAATCTCCTTCAGCAACTACTAAATAGCCAGAAGGGGCCAGACAGTCAATATATGAATTCAGCGTTCCTACAGAACAGACCGTAAAGCATTCCCAAAAAGTCAAAACAATTATTTTAGCAGCTGATTTCTGTACTTAAAAAAACCCCAAACAAACATTTATTATAGCTCTATTATGTAGGTAATGTAGGAGACGTGGACACAAATACACAGAGGGTTAACGAGGGAAGTGGGAGCACACGGGGAACACAGGTGACACTGATAATCATAACGAGACACGGCAGGAGTAACACAACACTGACGGGAGACTATCAAAGTAAAACAGGAAGCACACAGAGACGCAGACCAGATTGGAAGAGAACACAGACATAGCGGGCTGGGAAAACATGGAATAAAACACAAGGAGGAGAAACGAGGCATGGGGGCTGGCAGATACACAGAGGGGGCACACAGGGGGTAAAGTCACGAGGGGAAATCAAATAAGCAACATCTTAACAGAACAACCGAGGGACCCTAAAGCTGACATCAAACAACAACAATACAAGACACACAAAAAACCAGGTAGAAGTCCCAGGACCATGACATGCAGGTGGTTACATATGGTTAAAATGATTCAAATGCACTAAGTATGCATGTTTTTCATATCAATATAGTCCATAACTTGATTACTGTCTGTAGCCCACATGATTAAACACTTTAGTTACATAAAACATGTGAGGTTAGATTTTATCTACTGTATAGCCTGTATAGTAAATTAATATGTAGCCCAATAAGTATAAAATCCAGAAAGCTACACAACATGGGGCGGTTCATTTACAAACACAGGTCTAACTTGAGTTTCACACAGTTTTTATTAGAAAACAATCAAATTGTTAAATGCTTCAAGTACACAAAATGTCAGAAATCTGCACCGTCATGAACAGAAATTTAAACCTAATTTTTCGTGATTTGTTGATTAACCCTCCGAGGTCTAAATCCCACGTTGTGCACATCAACATCACAGATTTGTACAAATAAAAGTTATAACAAAGACATGTTAAATATTAAGCACTGGAAACAGCTTGTTGTTTTGTTGCCATAGCGTTTTGTTTTGTCTCCATTTAAAAGATATCAAAATCTGAGCAAACAACTTGATGTCAAAAGAATCTCTGCACATTCCGCAGTCTTTGCTGCTAAAGTGACATCACAGCATTTAAGCATGTTTGAATGAAAACATCAGCATATGAACACAAAACTGAAGAGACACTGCAACCGAATGAAAGCAGACCACTATTTAGTGACATTTGGACGTTTCCCTGAGGATTAACTGCTGTGTAATCTACCAAGAACTAAAGTAAGCTCAAATTTCAGTTTATAAACTCAAGATCATTTACTTAAATATATAAAGCCTGATTTTCCTGCTTGCCAGGACAGTATTTATGTACTTTACATTGTGCAAGACTAGACTATATTTTCCATCATAGAGAGGATGATGTGGATCTATTATTCAGGAAAACAAATGAAGACTTAACTATTTGTCAGCTGATGTAATATTTGACAAATGATACATAAATTAGAAAATGTTCTTAATCATATCTTAGAGTGACAGAAGCTCTTTTTAACACGATTATTTCTCAGATTATTTTGTTCATTTAGGAAAATAGAGAAGACGTAAGTTTTGTTCTCAAACAAACTATTAGAATTTCTGAGAAACTGAGCCTACGTGCACATGTACACGGCTATTTTTGAAAGCGCAGCTTTGTCTCTGCATTTGGGCCTTTCGTCCACACCTAAACAGCAGATTGAGTCACTGAAAGGTGAGATTTTTAAAAAGCACGTTTTTGTGTTTAGGTGTGGACGAGGAAAACGGACATTTACTCAGGCAATGTCAAAAGTGTGCGCCGCTGTTGAAGTCAGCTGTGGCCACGTTAGTGTTTACATGAGATCAATTTCTACAATGGCAGATGTAGACAACATACTGTGTCTGTTAATCTTAGTATCTGCAGTTTTTACACGCTTACATCAGACGTGGATTCTACATTCAACACAGACGCTCTCCCAACCCAAATCCTGACGTCGGTTTGGAATAAATGTAATTTAAAAAAATGACATTTATGTATGCTGTATGCATTTAGTCCACTCCAAAGTTGTGAGTCTGTCTTTAGTTATTAACATTTGAAACGATGAAGGCACGTGAAAGTAACACAAAATTAGCTGCTTTTCCAGAAAAAGACAAAAACTTCTCAGAAGTACGTAAGGTTTTATGAGGTTTTCCCACCCAGGCTTCTAGACTTCTGATTGGCCAACATTTCCACACGGTTAAGATTTGGCGTGTTCTTGACAGCGTTTCACTTTGTTTTTAGCGTTTAGATGTGGAAGGAGATATTTTTTCAAAACTGCACATGTGGACTGGATTTTTTTTTTTTTTTAAACGAAAAAGGAAAAACGTCCGTTTTCAAACATAGCCGTGTACGTTTGGACGCAGCCTAAAGTCATCACCAAAAAAGCAAATTCTCTGAACATTCTGGGTTGAGGTTTAGTGATCATTGTTGTTTTGTGTTCCTTGTAGTCAAAATGAGTGCAAGTGGAGACGGACCACAAAATAACCAAAACGGTAAGCACATGTACTCAGTCTTGAAATTGATGAAAAACAGATTTTCAGCAGATAGTTATGGATGTTAATTAAAAGATTTAATGATCTTGCAGGCCAACAGGTTAACCCACAAAGGTTCCCAAATGGAGATCAGGAACCTGCTAATGGCTTCCTGAACGATCTGTATCTCGCTCTCCATGATTTTTGTTGCTATCTAGATGAGCTAATAGCTTCAGTACTGGCACAATATGACAATTACCTTTACGGGGACGAAGACGATGACGACGACGACGACGACGACGACGACGACGACGACGACGACGACGACGTGATGACGACGATGATGACGACGACAATGACGACGACAATGACGACGACGATGACGGCGGCGACGGCGACGGCAACGATGACGACGACGACGTTCAAAATATTCATGTGAGGGACAATAATGCCAATGGTGACAACGATGAACAGCACGGGGATCACAATGCTGTGGTTGTGATCATTTTCAATGTTGGTGGCATTGAAAATGAGGAGGCATTTGAAGGCCGCATGGATGGTCGCCAGTACATCCCAGAAGAGGACCCTCAGCCAGGTGTTTCCAGGAAGAGGTCTAGAGAGAGGGATGAAGATTTGGGACCAAACAAAAGAATGAGATGGAGCGATGATGACTCTGAAGTATTTGAAGATGCGCACGAAGAGCTTGAACATGAAACTGGAGGCTCGAGGAAGCGTTCCCGAGAGGATTTTGAGGAAGAAGAGGAATACTTGCCTGTGTGCAAACTTCAGAGGTTTTCAATTGAGTCGACCAGCAGCAATGAAGACTAAGACTGCTTCGGTTTTTTCAGTATCCTTTCAGTAATCTGATGGCCTACTCAGGTGATCCTGAATCCTCTATGCTGCAATAAGCTGGGCATACACTGTGCTGTGATTTTTCAGTCGCGTTATTCGGCTCCTGATCAAACTGTAGGATTGACTCGCAGGGGTGAGAAGTTTGATCAAGGCCAAACTCGGGACGATCCCCAAAACGATCGCACGACTGAAAAATCGGCTCAAAATGGGCCAAAAATCGCACAGTGTATGCCCAGCATTAGGCTGCCGGGGGATTCCCATGATGCACTGGGTGTTTCTTCTTCACCCACTATGTTTAATAGACCTCTCTGCACTGAATGGTACTTGTTATTAACCTCTGTCTCTGTTCCATGTCTTTATACTATTTTCCTTGCCCCTCCCCAACCGGTCGCAGCAGATGGCCGCCCCTCCCTGAGCCTGGTTCTGCTGGAGGTTTCTTCCTGTTAAAAGGGAGTTTTTCCTTCCCACTGTCGCCAAAGTGCTTGCTCATAGGGGGTCATATGATTGTTGGGGTTTTCTTTGTAAGTATATCTTACAATATAAAGCGCCTTCAGGTGACTGTTGCTGTCATTTGGCGCTCTTTAAATAAAATTGAATTGAAAATTAAATAGATGTCACTGTGATGATTTCTTCCCTGCATAGAAAGCTTAGACCCAAATGCAGATTCAATGCACATGGTTAAACTATTTATGAGACTTTGTTTAAAGAGAGGGAATGGAGAACGTGGCTCGAGCTAGGAGTGTCAGCAGACAGCAGGAACCAGAGGAAAAGCTATCGAGAGACTGAACACCTGGCTGCTGATGGGAACAATCCAACGGGAATTCTGCAACAGAGGGAGAAGAAGTTGCTGGACGGGTAAGGGAGTTTGAGGGTAGGATGAGTATGTTGGCAGAGGAGAGCTAAACACAGGGAAAACAAGGTTAAACACAGGGAAGGAGCACGCCAGAACTGGAGCAGAGGGGAAGCCTAGTTACCACTGGAGATGGCAGAACAAACTGGCGAGGAGTAGCAGGCAGCGCTGGTTTAAGAAGCCCTCCTGCTGATTGTTTGCAGATGAGGCCCAGGTGAGATGCTGGAAACTCCACCTCTGAAGTGTGGACACAGTATCCCCATTCCAAGTGGAAAAGCCCCTCAGACACTTCCATGGTGCATGACAAGAAGGATGAGAAAGCATTCATGGTCCATCCATCCCTCCGTCAGCGTAATGCCTAAAAGTTTATTCAGATGTAAATGTATTACATTTTTTAATAAAGATCATCAGTGTTTTTAATGACGCTGCATTTCATTCATGTGTCTCTATTGGACAGTGTTGTAGAAGTTACAGAAGACAGGAATCAGTTCCAGCTTGGCCTGACATTTGATCACTAGTGATGTGTGATACCACTGATTTCCTTTCCGATCCCATACCAAGTAAAATTCAGGGTGGTATCGACGATACTGCTCCGATACTTTGTACAAAAACTTTACTCTTTTATTGTATCTCAAATTATAGCGTCATAATCATTACAGGACATCAGATTACTTGTTCTTATCACTTAATAATGCAGAATTCATCATATAGAAATCAAAAACCTGAAGTTGTGCACTATGTGAACACCTTGCCTGCCTGCAGCACTAAAGGACTCCCTGAGAGACGTCTGTCTCACCCTAGCAGCACCCGTCCTTCTCCTCCTCTTCAGTTTGCCTCAACATAAGCTCGTCATATTCTGTGATATGATTTACTTTGAGGTGTTTGACAAGGTTAGTGGTGTTGCCACAACACCTCACTTTCTTGCCACATGTATCGCAAACCACGTCTCGGCTGTTTGTGGATGTAAAATACGTGCGCACATGACTCCAGTTACGCTCAGCCATTGTTGTGAGTGCGCACGCCACAGGCTGCCACACATTTATACAGCCGTATTTCACACATGACTATAAAAGGCGGAAGAGGGAGTAGTTCTTTCCAATGTAGACAATCTGAATGATAGTTTCTTTCCACTGCGTTCCTGTTAATGAAAAACTACAATTTCACCCAAAATGATTCAAATATCGATATTTTAATGTGGAAACCTTCTGTTTCCACATCTGGACTTTCTGTTGCTGCCCACGCGGGTGAAACTTTCTTTGAAGTGGCTCATTGAAGTTGTAATTGATAATCAATTCCCACACAATGTGAGAATCCAATCAATTTGTTTATCAGGGGAAAGGTGTGATTTTTTTAGGACACTGGAGCCTAACATTAACCGGTTTAAAATTAGCTTATTTCCATAAGAAGAAAAACATACTGAGAAAGAGATCACCAAAATATACATGTACAAATGTGAAATAGTCATATGTAGTGTGAAAGAGCTATTTGACATCTTTAAATTCAAAGTAATGTATAAATCCACTTACATAAAACATGAAAAGGCGGCGCAGCGATGCCCATCTCAGCCAGTGTATGATGGTGGGGCAAGATGGCAGCTTCCACAACATGACGCCAGCTCCTATGTATTTTTAGTAGATAAATGATACGTTTATGTATCAATTTGTTGGAAGATGTAATTACACCTTAATTATGTAATTAGAAGCAAAAATGATGTTTTTTAATCAAATCACCTCAAAAAATTACTGTACTTACTTTCTAAATCATTCTTTACCTCTGAAAGGGGTGGCTGTGGCTCAGGAGGTGGAGCAGGAGGTGGAGCAGGTCATCTACTAATCAGATGGTTTTTGGGTCGATCCCTGGCTGCTCCAGACTGCATGCTAACTGTCCTTGGGCAAGACATTAACCCCAAGTCACTCTCTGATGCATTCATCAGAGTATGAATGTGTGTGAATGTTAGATAGAAAGCACAGAAAAAGGGCTTCTATGAACAGGTGTGAATGAGGCAACCTGTATAGAGCGCTTTGAATGTTCAGGTAGAGTAGAAAAGCACTGTAAAAGTTTCTCTGTGTTGATTTCTTTTGGACCTCAAACATTACTCACCTTGTTGCAGGTTTCTTTATTAATGCTGAAAACCCAGTGTAGCATCCAGTCGAACTGAGAAGGCCAGAACTGATGGTTGTTGAATGACCTTTATTATTCCTTGCCGTGTATCAGACAACGAACCAACGTAAGAGCTAGACAAACAAATAAAACAATTACCATATTATTCATGTAACAGCATCTTAACCGCTCATTACGCTGGTCTAACCGTTTTCTATTAAACTATATAATACATATTATGCATTTCAGATAGGGCTGCCACGATTTGTCGACTAGTCACGATTACGTCGACTATCAAAATCGTCGACGACTGATTTAATAGTCGACATGTCGTTTGAAGCTTTGTAAGATCGCAAAAGACGCAGGAATAATAGCAGGATTTAAGAGTGTAATAACGGACTGAAACAGAAGATGGCAGCACTGCTTTTACAAGGATGCCAGCTGCCGTTAAACCCCGAAGAAGAAGAAGCAGCTGTGTCCCAGAATTCATAGCGCGGCCCAGCTTAGTTTCCAACAATGGCGGTAGCTAGTTAGTTTTAATATTACTCTTATTATTCTTTCTGGGTCACAAAATAAACGTTTAACGTATTTTCAGGCGAGAATGTAGCTGTGTAAACCTCAAATATCGGCTCAGTTTATCAGGACACCACATATTTTCAAAAGCGCTCTGACGTTTTCGGAGACGTCTGTTACCCACTAGCTCGATAGCTAGCCGGGGGCTAGGTCACTAGCGCTGTGAGAACACCGGACTCCCGGCAAATTGTTTTCAAACCCACCGCCGTCTTTCGCGACTCAGGTTAAATATATATGAGTCACTTAGATAAATTAAAAATGTTGTTGTTTGGCTTTTTTTTTTTAGTATTTTATTTGTTCCTGAGTAAATCGGTTTGGCTGAGATTAAAGTTATAGTTTTTACACAGCTGAATAAACGTCAAGCAGACAGCTGATTATCAGAAGTGTGAGATGCTGGAGAATATACTCCGGTGTCCTGTTATATTTTAGATAGCAAGGAGTTTATTAAACTTTACCGAAACAATCTGCAAATTTCATTAAAATTGAATAAACTATCATCTTGTCTTTATTTTTAGTTAGCACCTTAAAAGCTTAAAGCTGTAAGCTAATGATAGTTATATAAGAGCAGATGCTGCTGGTGCAATAAGCTGTAGTTTTACGTCCAGTGGATGATGATCTGATTAGTCGACTAATCGCATAAATAATCGGTGACTAGTCGACTATCAAAATAATCGTTTGTGGCAGCCCTAATTTCAGATTGCTCAAATTAAATCATATACATTACAAACCTTGTTCCCCTGTCGACTGTAGCTAGAACCATTCGTTTTTGTACAATTTAACTATATTCTTCTCTCCCTTTTCTCCGTTAGCATTAGTTTTCCGTTTTCTTCCGTCTCTTTTGCACATCAAGTTGTTTACCGTTACATCATTCACTTCCGGTCACACAGGAAGTTACCAAACTAAAAGCACAAATGTTATATTACGTGAATATGCGCTAGCTTTACATATCCGCCGTTACACTCCCACCAAATTATTTGCTGTTACAAACAAATAAAACGCAAATAATTTCTAAACAGGTAACTTAACAATAATAATACCTTTGTATATGCAACAACAAATTTTCATTGCGTTTTAACTTCTTAATGCATCTTGCTTTTCGCAACTTTCTAACAGTAGAACCAACTTATGAACTGGGCGTTCCACTGTAGACATCTTATGCAAACGTTCACCCTTTTTACTAAGGTTTCTGTCTGCAAAGGTTACTTTGACCTTTCTCACAAGTCCATCTTTGTCTGTTATGGTGTCCACAACCCTACCAAGTCTCCATTGGGATCGTGGCAGTATTTCTTCCTTGTCCATCACTATGTCACCTACTTGCATATTCCTTTTAGCAGCATGCCATCTCTGCCGAACCCTGATGTTGTGAAGATATTCTCTCTTCCATCTGCCCCAAAATTGCTCTGTCAGGTATTGTACCTGACGCCATTGCTTCCGAGCATACAGATCCTCTTTAACAAACTGTCCTGGAGGAGGCAAAGCTGTTGTGGTTTTCATAGTTAGGAGATGATTTGGAGTTATTGGTTTCAAACTGTTTGGATCATTGAGATTGTCTGTCGTCAACGGGCGGCTGTTTACTATTGCAGCTGCTTCATAGAGAAAGGTTCTGAGCGATGAATCGGTGAGTCGTCTCTTTGCGAGAGCAAGTGTGGCGTTGAGGACGTTTCTCACAGTCCGAATTTGTCGTTCCCATACTCCACCTGCGTGGCTAGCATGGGGTGTGTTAAACACAAAATCACATTGTTTTTCAGATAGAAAGGTTGTCAGTTTTTCAGTGTCTATTTCATTCAGTGCTGCACACAGTTCATTTTTGGCACCTACAAAGTTAGTACCTCGATCACATTTTATTTGTCTGACAGAGCCTCTCAGAGCTATAAAGCACCTTAGTCCATTAATGAAAGCGTCCGTAGTCAGGTCTTCTAACATTTCTACGTGTACTGCTCGGAAATAGAAACAAGTGAAAAGGAGAGCGTACCTTTTGTTTTCTTTTCTTGCTTGTTTGGTTAGGAACGGGCCAAAAACATCCATACCACAGTATGTGAAAGGCGGAGAGTGTTCGACTCTTTCTGTGGGGAGATCTTTCATTTTTTGTCCTTCCACAGCTCTCCTTAGTCTCCGACATGTCACACACTGACGAATGTAGTCTGATACTGTTTGACTTAGCTTGGGAATCCAATAACCGCTGGACCGTATTTCATTCATTGTGAAGCTCTTTCCTTGATGATTTATTCTTTCGTGACAGTGAGCGATTATGAGTTTAGTAATATGATGGTCTCTTGGAATGACAGTTGGATGTTTGAATGTGTTAGGAAGCGATGAGTGTTGTAGCCTTCCTCCCACCTTGAGCACATTGTCTTCGTCCAAGAAAGGATCCAAGTTGTACATTTTGTTGCTCTCATGTAGTGCCTTTCCTTTGCTTAATGTCTTTATCTCATCTGAAAATGTTAGTCCTTGTAAGTTTTTGATAATCACCATTTCAGCGTTTTGTCTTTCAGTTACAGTGCTGAGTGACTTTGATTTGTCTCTGAGTAAGAAACGCTTGAGACGTGCTATGGCACTGACAGCATGTGACCAGGATGAGAACCTTGTGAGACGGTCACAGAGACTTCTGTGTTCTGTAGTTTGGCTGTTGAGTGTTTGCACTTTTCTCACCTCTGGATCTCCCACCAAAAGTTCAATAGACTCTTTAGTTGGAAGATTTAACTTCCTTTCCCATAAGAACTGAGGGCCTGTGAGCCAGTTTGATGATAGCAGTTCTGCTACTGATGTGCCCCTTGATGTTATGTCAGCGGGGTTTTCACTCGTCGGTACATAGAACCATTGCTGTGGTGCAGTATTGTTACGTATTTTTTGCACTCTATTGGCAACGAATGTGTGGAAGCGTCTTGCTTCATTGCTAATGTACCCCAGCGTGACCTTTGAATCTGTCCAAAAGAACTCTTCCACATTGTCATAGAGTAACTCTTCCTTTAGCATGCTGCTTACTGTGATTGATACTGCAGCTGCGGTCAACTCTAGCCTCGGAATTGTGGTAACCTTTGTTGGAGAGACTCGAGCTTTGCCCATTACAAAACTACAGTGTACCTCTTTGTTTTTGTTTATCAGTCTTAGGTAAGTGCACTGTCCATATCCTGTCGTACTTGCATCAGAAAAGTGGTGCAATTCTCTTTTTACCACATCTCCAAACGATGCAGGAACATAACATCTGTTTATTTGCAACCTTTTCAGGTTGTGCAGATCTTCTTTCCAGCACTGCCATTGCGGGTTGAGATGTTCAGAGAGTGGATCATCCCAGTCTGTACCTTGGCAGCACATTTCCTGCAGGATTCTTTTGCCGTTAAGAACGTACGGAGCGATGAAACCCAACGGGTCAAATATTGCTGCGACTGTGGACAAGATGCTGCGTCTGGTTGGGGGTTGGTCCTTTACAGCTCTGTTGAATGTAAAACAATCCTTTTCTATGTTCCAATACATCCCGAGTGCTCTTTCTGTTTGTGATTCACTGAATGTCAAGTCCTTTGTTTTTGTGTCTGTTGCATGTTCTGAAGTAGGAATGTCTTTGAGTGCAACACTGTTGTTAAACACAAACTTGTGTAACCTTAGTCCACCTTTCGCACATAGCTCACGTGCTTCTCTTGTGAGTTGTACAGCGTCTTTCACTGTCTCAACGCTTGTTACCCCATCATCGACATAGAAGTCTCTGGTTATAAACTGTGCCGCTACGGGGTACTTGGAGCTGTTCTCTTTGGCTAAGCGTTTAAATCCGTAATTTGCACAACCAGGTGACGAAACAGCGCCAAAGAGATGTACAGCCATTCGATAAGCTTGAGGTGGTTTGCTCATGTCTCCTCCCTTCCACCATAAAAAGCGTAGGTAGTCGCGATCGTTTGTATTGACTTTGAATTGGTGGAACATTTTTTCAATGTCGCACATTAGTGCTACCCGATGTTGTCGGAAGCGGACAAGCACGCCGGTCAGGTTGTTTATCATGTCAGGGCCATTTAGTAAATGGTCGTTAAGACAGGTACCCTTGTGTCTGGCTGAACAATCGAACACCACACGTAACCGTTCTGGTTTCTTTGGGTGATAGATGCCGTGGTGCGGTATGTACCATGTCTCACCTTCAGGTCCATTATCATCAGTCTCTTCGGCATCACCCCTTTGTATAATGTCATTCATATATGTGACATAGTCCCTTTTGTATTTTTCATTGCGCATTAGTTTACGTTTGAGCTGATTGAGTCTGCTCTCGGCGAGTTGTCTGTTATCTGGCATTTGTGGCCTTTCTTTAAATGGCAATGGCATTTCATAATGTCCCTTTTCTGTTTGTGTTATGCCTTGTTCAAGTTTCTCAAGAAACCTAAGGTCGTCTTGAGACACCATCTTTTCGTTTATTTCGTTTTCTTTAAAGTCCCTTTCTAGTGCACGTATTGCATCTGCGGGAGTACATGGAGGCATTTCTTTAACAGTTATTCTGTGACAGAGACTCCTTGTTGTCTCTGATGCATTGCATGGCACTGAGTTGCCAACTATGCTCCATCCTAAATCAGTTTGGATGGCATATGGCTCATTGTCTTTACCTAAGAGTACTTGTCTGGGCACCAGAGCTTGGGGACAAGTATAACCTATCAGGAGACTCACCTCACAACTGAGGAGCGGTGGGATCTCATCTGCAATGGACGACAAATGACTCCACAGTTTTGCCGTGTCACATGTTGGTATGTGTTCTCTATTTGCAGGTATGAAGTCCTTTGTGTAAGCAGTTGGGAGCCTTAGCACTGTTGCTGAATTGTAACCTCTCACTAGAAGATCACACACCTTTCCACTGCTTACTACTGCGTTTTTACCCATCATTGTGGTTAGTCTGAGTTTGACAGGGCACACATTTGCTTGCAGTTTCTGTGTTACATCCTGATCTATAAAAACAGTGTCACTCTGCGTGTCTAGTAGCGCATAGACTAGTTTTTCCCTTTGTGGATTAGCAGCCGTTGAGACCCATACTGGGATTATCATGGAGGTGCTGACTGTGTGTTCTGCTCTAGCGACATTTAACGCAATGGCTGTTGCACTTTCAGGTGAGTTCCCTTGTGTTGCGTTGTCTGTACTCACTTGAGCTTGCTTTTCTCTTTGCAGACTGATGCTGTAGTTCTCATCGTGAAGACAGGTCGGGTGTCTCTTAGAGCAGGTTTCACAAGTGAGACGCCGTTTGCAGTCCTTAGCACTATGACCTTGCTTTAAACAACCATAACAATGTTTATTATCCTTTACATGTTTCTTTTTCATTTCCAGGGTCATTTGCAGAAACTTTGGGCACTTTATAAGTGGATGCGACTCTTGGCACAGTGTGCATGAAGAACTGTTGTATATTTTAGTCTTTGCATCTCGTTCAGTTGTGTTAATGTTGAATACACTTGCCTTGTTTCTTTTGACTTCTCTTGTGTTTCTTTTGTCATCATTTGTTTCCGTGGAGCGAAGTGCATGTATGGAAGTGACTGGGTTGCATGCTACTTCTGCTTCAAGTGAGAGAAAGGAGGCAAATTCACTGAAGCTGGGGAATTCACCACCGTCCATGAGTGTCTTTGTTACATGCCTGTTCCATCTTGTGTTTATCCAGTCTGGCAGTTTATGCAACAGTTTCTGATTTTCTTCACAGTCATTGAGTATTTGCAGTCCTTTCACATGAGGCATGGCAAGTGTGCATGCATTCACAAAATCAGCAAAGTTCCTTAGCCCATCAGCATCTCTCGACTGTATTTTAGGCCAACTAGATAACTTCTCTCTAAATGCCCTTTGTAGCACGAATGGTTGGCCGTACCTTTGGTTTAACTTTGCCCAAGCGTCGTTATACGCTTCTTCATCATTTCTGAAGAAAGTCCCTTCAAGGCACTTGCGAGCTGAGCCGGTTACATACCTTTTCAGATAGTACAGTTTATCTGCTGCTGACATGCCAATTTGTTCAATAAGTGACATGAAAGTGGATTTCCATTCGATAAATTTTATTGGCTCACCACTAAACATAGTTGGTTCTGGCGTGGGGAGTCTATTTATTCTTATGCTGTCTTGTACCGCCTGTGCAAGCTGGCTGACACTAGGAGGGGCTGTTGGCGCCGGTATGGAGTATGATGGTACAGTGTGTTTGGGTGTGTGCTCTGGGTTCACCTTTTCCATCTTAACTGAATATGCATCATCAAGTTGCGACAACTCTCTGTTGTAGGCGTCCAACCTGGCGCGAGCGGCTTCCACCTCCCTTTCGGCTTTCAGGCGTTCCAACTCTGATGTTTGAGCTGCCATTTGTTTCTTATGCTCCTCTTCTAGAGCCTTTATCTTTTCCTTCTGTCTTTGTTCCTCTTGTACAATCTTGTACTCTGCCTCCTTTGCTGCTAGTTCTGCTGCTGCATCTGCTCGTTTTGAAGCAAGATGTGAGGCTGAAGACAGTTGGCTACGTTTCGATGCTGCAGTTGAACCACAGATGGATTGGGCATAATCATGTTCTAATAGTCTGCGTAGACGTTTTCTTTCATATTCTCCATCAAAATCTCCATCTACACCGCTTATTCTTTCCAGGATGACTTTCACGATGTCATGAGTAACTGCTTCACATGCATCGGTTTTTCTTTGTATGTCTGATGAAGGTGCAATGTGACTTCTCATTTCAGTGTACAACTTTAGCAGTTCATCTTTTCTTTGCTCTACATCATCTGCAAGATCTGCCATTTCTTTCTCTGAAATGTCCAACTTTAATCTTTCTCTTGTTTCTCGCACTCGTATTTTCCATTGTTCATAAAGAGTTAATAGTCTTTTTTCTTTTTTACTTATCTCTTCTTTCTGATAAGTTATCATTTTTTCGGTTGGCACCTTGGCTCTTTCTGAACGCCTTGGAATCGCGGAGTTACTTTGAGCTTTATCTTGTGGCTCATTTAATATTTGTTCTTTGTTTGCAAACTGTTCATTAATGTCTTCTTCTGGATCCTCCATTTTAACTTTATTTTCCTTATGCCTTTCACCGTTTTGTTCTCTGACCTGCTTCTGCCATCTGCTGGACGTTGTGGGAATTGCCGTTAAACCTTGAGCCCTCGTGGTGTAGCAAAATGGCGGCGGTCAAGCTCTTACTGTAGCATCCAGTCGAACTGAGAAGGCCAGAACTGATGGTTGTTGAATGACCTTTATTATTCCTTGCCGTGTATCAGACAACGAACCAACGTAAGAGCTAGACAAACAAATAAAACAATTACCATATTATTCATGCAACACCATCTTAATCACTCATTACGCTGGTCTAACCGTTTTCTATTAAACTATAGAATACATATTATACATTTCAGATTGCTCAAATTAAATCATATACATTACAAACCTTGTTCCCCTGTCGACTGTAGCTAGAACCATTCGTTTTTGTACAATTTAACCATATTCTTCTCTCCCTTTTCTCCGTTAGCATTAGTTTTCCGTTTTCTTCCGTCTTTTTTGTACCTCAAGTTGTTTACCGTTACATCATTCACTTCCGGTCACACAGGAAGTTACCAAAATAAAAGCACGAACGTTATATTACGTGAATATGCGCTAGCTTTACATATCCGCCGTTACACACAATAGATGTGTTTGGAGGTTTTATTGCAAATTGTGCATTGCTATCTTGGTTTTAATTACCCTCGGCCCGCAGTATATGTGGGCATCTGTCAAAGGTCATTTGGATTTACCAGACCGATTTGAAAACAACATGAAAAAAATGAATGCTTTGAGCCATGACTGAATTTATCCTTATCCTT